GGCCTCGCGGACTACATCGCCAAGAACCCAACTATGAGCAGGATCTGGGGTGAGTCACATCTTGCCGGCAGTTGAATTGCGACGACCAGCTCAATCACAATATCAGCCAGCGTTGACCCCAAATAGATTAGAGGACAGGAGGAGGACGAGAAGGGGGATGGGAGGGGGGCGAAAGGGGGGCGGGAGCAGGGCGGGGGGGGAACGGGAGGGGCAAAATCAAGCAAGCGCAAGCAAGCAATCGGAAGCAAGCAAGCATGCGCCGGCGATCAAGTGCGAGCGAGCGAGGGCAAGTAAGAGCAAGCAAGCGAGAGCGAGCACGCAAGAGCAAGCAAGCAAGTGCCATTGGAAAAAAGGGTGGGGGTGGGGTGCCATTGGAAAGGGGGGGGGGGAAGGCCATTGGAAAGGGGGGGGAGTCCTAAAGGCCAATCACTAATGATGAGCTTGGACTCCTATAGGGCAAGCTTATTTTGATAATTTCTGCGATCAGTGTCAGCATGGGCTGCGCGATTCAGGAGGCGCGCAGAGAAGGGCGACCTTCGCTGCATTTGTTCGATTTGCGCGGGCCGCAGTATTGTGCTGGTGTTTTCAGCCTCGTGCGTGATTGGCTGGTGGTGGTTCCAGCATGGCCGAATAACAGCTCGAGTGAGGAGGGGCACATGCCACCGAGGACAGCTATTCCAGCGCCGAGGACGCCTGCGCTAACGCGCATTCCCCAAGGCGTTCGGGGGCGCCCGCCTGGCCAGACACTCCTCGAACAAAGCAGGGAATTCATGCAGGCCGATGGCGGAGTGCATCCGAAGGAATTGGCACCAACTCCGAGTTCCCCTACTTAGGCAGAACCCAGAAGATCGCGAGGCGCAGGTGGCCGAGTCGACAGCGGAATGAGCCAGGCAGATTTAGCGAGGTCATTTCGACCTCCAGCTGGCAGCGCCATCGACATGCTCCACCGCGGCAGCGCCCGCATCGGCCATCGGCCCGGCTAGGGCGAAGTCATTGGGCTAGATTGCGGACGTTCGCGATGAAGAGAATCGACACCAACCAGCATCGACGCGCCAAAAGAGGAGAAGGGCACCGCCCTCCGCGATGGGCCTCCATCTGGCACGACATCGCCGGCGCCGGTTTAGGACAGGCAGATGGTCGGCGCGTGCGTGATCGCTGAGGTGTTGGATGAACACCATCACATTGTGATGGACATGGTACGGTAGGTATCTGGTATTTATTGTCGAATGGGCAGGGGTACTCAGCTGGTCAGCATCCGCGGCCCGCTGGGTCATGCCAGGCCTTGTCAAGGAAGATCGAACTCTGCTCCGACCTGATGGCCGACGGGGCAATCCACGCCCAACCCGACGACGTTCATGGAGGACGACATTATGAAGTACTAGAACCTTGGGCTCCTACAGCGTGATCGATGCAACGTGGGTCAGACGCTTAAGAAGGTCTCCAACGACAAAAACGAGGTCACCCACGTCGTCGAGTCTCGTCTGCGCGGCAGGAGCTTTCTAGACGCGCAGCAGAACCTCGTGATGAGACATTCCTCGACGGCGTCGCGGCTATCGCGGTGGACCTTCGCTTTGCTGTTCTTTCTGAGAAGAGAGGAGCTGATTGTGGAGACACGGGGCATCGCGACAGCATTCTTGCAGGGGTTTTCACGCGAGGACTTTCGCGAGAAAGCGAAGCGAGTGGGCATCGAAGTCAGAGAGCAACGGAAGGTGTATTTCATGCCGTCGGCCAGCGTCTCGCGCCACTTCAGGGATTATGAGAAGTCGAACGCCAGGGTTCTGGAGCTAGAAGCACAAGTCTTCCTGTTGCAGCTCTTGAAGCCCATTCGCGGCGCTGTCGACGCCCCGCTCCGCTGCCAGTTGGCATTGTCCTTCTTCGTAATGCAGGATCTGTCTGGCATCAAACCAGCCTTCAACGATGACTCCTTGATGTGGATCAATGGTGGAGATCATGGTGGCGTGGGCAGTGCGCGTGGACGATCTCATAGTCTTGGCGAAGCTGGCTTATCCGGGCTGGAGCGCGAGTGAGAAGGAGAAGTGAGCTGGGGAACTCAAGCGCTACAAGTTGCCGTTCACGTGCATGGGTATGAGTTGCCAGCAGCTCGGGCCCAGGCTCCTGTTCAACCGCCGGGGGCGTATCACGGACCCTCTGAAGAAGATCTTCACTAAGCCGGCACTGGAGGACAAGGTGGAGATGGAGTGCAATCAAGTGCAGCAGTAGGGCTTCAGAGGCGCGCTTTGTGTAGTTTGCTGTGGCTGTGTCAGACGAGGACATCCACTGTGACTTGGTCCAGCTGCAGCAGAATGCTCGGGACGCTAAAATCAGTCATCTGAAGCTGGCGTACTTCATCGTATATCGAACACAACAGAACACTCATTAGACAGGTGTTCATTTCGCTCCACGAACATATCCTGTGAGGTTGGTATGTGTTGGCGACCCTAGTCATGGTGGCGCGACTCTATCCTCAGGAAGGAACGGCGTTGTGCTTGATGGTTGATCGTATGCATCACCTTTGACTACATCGATATCAGGTTCATCCAAATGATACGCGCATGGTTGGCGGTCTGCACCGCGCGTTATCATTGGCTTCAGGCAAGGCAAAGCGTATGTTTAATTCAATATGCCACGCGGATACCAATGCTGGCTGCAAAGTGAAACAAAGTGCTCAGTTCATCGCCTTTCGCCACACACTGAGAGTGTTACCTGCATGGGCAAGCGGCCCGAATCAGTGGACATGCTGGAAATCTGCGATCGGCGTCTTCATCAGACTCGAGTTGATCATTGCACGAACTGACTGGATTACTTGCAGGTGTGCTGTGAGGCGGAAAGAATTCCCGCTGATGAAGGGGCCGCGAGTGGCAGTTTTGTCAATCAGAGAGCAGCGTCTGTCAGGACGTACGCGCCATGCCCTGCACCTCCCGACAGAGGTCATGCTCGTTGACGGTCTCACCGAGCTTGGAGTATTCCAACTACTGATGGCTCACATGGCGACAGGCGCGTGGAAAATTGAGCACCCCAAGAACAGGTTCGTGGCGTTGAGGGATATCATCGAGCCCAGGACCGTCCTCGACGAGGCCGACCTTTTGGTCCTTCTCGCTTGTACGCCTCTGCAAACAGTAGATCAGTATGACATCTTGTTCGTATGTGTGTGGGAGGTTAATATCAAAGCGCGCGATGATATTTCAATCATCACTCGTTTTCTTGATGTGCCTTTTTGGCTCCTGCGAGTTGAAGTTCGTATTTGTTATTGAGATTTGCAAGTCGGGGCGCAGTGCAGAAGCGAAAGTTCAGGCCTCCTCAGAGGCAGGATCTGTTCATGTCACAGAGACAACAGAGTTGGTGTTCGCCCGTGTCCGCATCGGGGCTCAAGGAGAAACGTAATCTTATCTCCGCTGGCGATCGCGGACGGCGCCCTTCCCTCTGTCAGACCGCGCAGTGACGTCCGCATGCAACCTCGCCCCACCCGTCGCCGCCACGCCAGAGGCGGAGGATTCAGAGCGCGCCCTGGTCCAACGCGAGGCCGACACCCGCGCGCGCGTGGCGCCTTCCAGCATCGATCCAACGAAGTTTGGCGCGTCTGGTTCAGCACTCGCGGCCCTGAGCTTGTCGGGTGTAGGCCTGCCGGCCCTGGCGTTTACACCGCCTCGCAGCTCACGGAATTCCTGGGCTTCATTCCCGGCTACAAACAGGTCGGCGACCCCACGCGTCAGCGGGACATTGGGAGGTACATTAAGCGACGATCCTCCAGAGACCTGTCGCGCCCAGCCCGCGCGTGGCCGAGGCCGCCACCCTTAGCGGCACCCTCCCCCCGTGCCTTGTCCGCGTTCTCCGTGGCGCCAGCTCGCCCCGTCTCCCCTTCCGTGGCGGCCGCCGTGGTCCGGTGGTGGAGGACGCGATTCTCGTGCAACACTGCGTTGCCCCGAGCAGCCGCCTTCATCTCCACCGTCCACCCTTTTGTGCGCCACTCAGTCGCCTGCGCCTTGGCGGTGGGGCCGCGATGCGCCGGCGCTCGTCGTGCGCTTGACAGGGCCCGATGCCTGGGTGACAGCCTTCGGGTGCGGCCCACGTTGGCGCCCGAGGGCGACGCGGCGCTCCTGCGCCCTCCATCGGGCCTCCTCACGCCTTCTGTCTTGGGCCGTTTCCGCACTCGGCCGCCCGCGCTTGGCTGCCCGCCTCGCGGTGGGCGCCGTGGCCCTAGCCCAGCGTGCTCTCTGCGCATCTTTCTTCGCGGAGTCTCGCGCTGCCGCTCCCGCTTCTCCCCGCCTGCCCTCGCTACCCTGCCAGCCGATCGCTCTGTGGTCGGCGGCTTGCATTGTCTTTGTCTCCCCCCGAGGCCCACTTGCCCTCCTGCCTGCTCGGCCACTCGCGGCGTGTGACTGGCCTTCTCGTCGCAGTCCGCCGCCGCTATTGTCTCATCCCCACGCTTGTCTTGCACAGGGTCATTGTCTACCTGTTGCCTCGCCCTTCTTCGGCCCGCCTTTGCAGCTCGTCTTTGCGCCTCGTCTTTCACGCTGCACTGTGCGCTGCTTCTTTCCCGTCTCCGTGCTCTTCCCGTCTGTCTCCCCGTCGCCGCCGCTCCCTTCGCGTCTGCCCCCCCGCAAGTCACGCTGTCGATCCTGTGACGTGGGGTGGCCGCGCGCGTATCTTCGCCCGATGTTCTACGCCGCGCCGCTGCGCGCGTGGCCACGACGCCACAGTGTGTGTGTGTGTGTGTGCTTGTGTGTTTCTGTGTGCATGTGCGGAATTGCAACCCTGAAATCCTTCGTCGCGAGAAAAATGCGACACCGTAAACATCGACCTGAGCCTTGGATCCAATCATGCTGCGGCAATCTTCGAGGCGGGTCGTTCCGTGAGGGCCTCGGGGCCCGAAGCATGGCAAATTCACCCGTTGTGAAAACATTGCGGCGCCATGATCCCTTGGTGTGCACGACGCCGATCCTGGTTCCAGCGAGGGCCCTGCCATCATCATTGCAGTTTAATGTCGGCGCCCTCCCGCGAAGGGGCTGTTGGCGCTGGACTTTGGGAACGCCTGGCCCGATCCCGCCGGCACGGTGTTCGTCTCGGTCAGCGGGCGCGTAGTGGCGAGAGCCGCGGCGGGGGAAGGCTCCCGACGGGTGGAGGTCCTCATGGCGCCGCCGCCGCTGTTGTCGTCGTCGTCGTCGTCTTCGTTCGTCTTCGTCGTTTTCGTCGTCGTCGTAGAGGTCATCGTCTTCCCAGTTGTCAAGGGCGTCCTGTCCGAGAGGTTCATCCTGCTGCTGCTTCCGCTTCCTTGCCCCTCTTGGTGGACAGGCTACCACGAAAGACACGACCACACAGGCACTCCCCAGACCTCCTTCGTCAGGAAGAAGCATGAGGATGGCTGGTTGTTTCTTCAGTGATGGTCTCCAGGGGCCCGTCTGGGGACCCTGTGCCATCCCATCGAAAAACTCCACAGGACGACAAACAAAGCCCCACGGATGGGGTTGGGAGGTCTCGGGGCCCGCGTCACGAAGAAACGGTGCCGTGGGATGTGTTGAGGGCGGAGAAGAGGCAATCGTAATATTCTCGAAACATGTGGCCGAGCCTGAATGACTCTGTGCCTCAGAGGGGCCGTCTAGAATTTTTTGCGGGCCTTCTGCCCGCGTGGGCGCGAAGATGGCCACGCTTTGCGCATCGTGCTCCGGCTGGAGACGACGTGTTTCTTTCACGACTTGGGCCCCCTATCGCTGACCTCTTCCCTGGACCAGGTTTTCGTCGCGGGCCGTTTTTTTGGTTCGCCCTGTGGCCCAGAAGTTGCCCTGACAGTGGTCGGCTGCCGTGATTTCTAATGAGGGAGGGCGCCTGGAGGTCTTCGCCATATCAGCTCTTCGTCCCGCAGTGTTTCTTGACGGTCCCAGGCCCCGAGAACGGGAAGAAACCTTCCAGGACCCCCGTTTCTCCAGGACCTGTTTCCCTCGCGCTGAGCGGTGCATGTGCCTCCCTGGCCACGGCAGATCGGAGTATACATCGATCCTGGGTCCAGGGTGGTCCTTGCCAGCGTCGGTGTGCACGTGATAGTTGGCGTCCTCCTGTGTCTAAGAGAGCGCGGCGCTTCGTAGGAGGGATCGGAGGCTCCTAGGAGGGCTTCAAGGAGGGCCTCTCAGATGGACCTGTTTTGAAGACTCGCAGGAGGGCTTTCAAGAAGGAGTCGACGGCCTCGCGGAAGGGGTTGGTGGGAGCCGGGCCGGGTTGGCTTCCGAAGAAGGCAAGGCTTCTTCTAGATCTCACCACAAAGAAAAGTAGTCCGAGAGCAGCGGGTCCTGGAGTTTTTGACCGTCTTCGGTCTGTGTTCGTGAAGTAAACGCAGGTGTCTTCGAAACGATGGTAATTATGACGATGATGATGATGATGATGATGATGATGATGATGATGATGATGATGATGATGGTGATGGTGATGGTGATGGTGATGGTGATGGTGATGGTGATGATGGTGATGGTGATGATGGTGATGATGCTGGTGATGGTGATGGTGATGGTGATGGTGATGGTGATGATGCTGATGCTGATAATGCTGATGCTGCTGCTGATGATGACCATGCTGCTGCTGATGATGCTGCTGATGATGATGATGATGCTTCTCTCCTGCAAGGTAGCGGCTGTCCTTTGCCGCAGTTCGTGTCGGCTACAGCTACCGAAGTAAGGGTAAACAAACATAGGTGTCTGTGTGAAACGTGCCCTCACTGGAACATGACACACAGGCCATTAACGGTGGACATAGGAAAAGAGGATTGACACAGCTGACATAGAAATAGGAACATAGAGATGCCAGGGCACGATGATATGAGTAGATCCGTGTAACCCCCTGGGCCCTGGGACCGTCAAAGTTGGGTCCTGGGGAAGCTCCAGGGTCCAGGATCCGTTTCCCTCAGGAGCCCTTTCCGCCATGGCAGCAGATCGTTTTGGATGTTTCGCCGGTCGGCGGGCGACTTCGTGTTCTTGGATGCGCTTGTGGACCCCGGGAGGGGTCTGGGGACTGGTCCTCGGTGGATTTCTGGCCCTGGGGCGGGGCGATCGGAGCGGCGCTCCGAGAAGGCATTCAGCGTCCCTCATGGCAGCACAATGGCTTTAATCTGCGATCACTCGCGAACCCTTCCCCGTCGGGTTCAATCGCCGCCAGGGCATAGGGCCCCCCGTCCCCTCCGCTATGGTGACTCACTCAGTTGCGGTACGTCTTCTGGATTACGAGCCCGACCTGCCGGGGCAGGTTTCACACGTCGAGCGACGGAAGAACACGGGGTCGACCGGGCGGACATTCGCCTGTAAGCTTCCCACGTAAGGTGGGTTCCTCTCCCAAGGTCGATGGCCTTTGAGGTTTCGCCAGTCGGCGGCCGTCGTCGTCGTTTCGGTGCTTTTTTGGATGTTTGATCCAGCCTCGTCGCAAGCTCTTCTGCGCCCTCCCTCGCCTGCGTCCTTGGCGGCAAGAGCAACCCTGGCCCCGAAGTTGGCCACCACCCCCGCAGTGCACTGGCACCTGAGTTTTTCCTCTCGCCCTGTATGGGCTCGCCCTCGTGCGAGCGGGGTGACTCGACTTGACTTGGATGTTTCTGCTGGTTTCCGTCGCCACGGCTGGGCGTGAGCTCGGCAGAGTGGCCAGGATGTGCCCTGGGAGGTGTCCACGGATCCGCTCTGATCGAATTTCTGGGCCCGGGGTGCGGGGCGACCGTGGTGGCCTTCTGGGAGGGCAGGGGGTGCCTCTCAGAGGAGATCGGAGGCTCCCATGGAGGCTTATCTCAGGACCCTGTCATCCGACGTCGCGAACAAAAATACAGCATCGTAACAATAATCGACCAGAGCCCTGGACCCCATTTCAACGTCAGGTTCTCAGGGGACGTTGGCGTCGACGACGTCGTCGTCGACGACGACGACGGAGACAACGAGGCAATCCCTGGCCCCAGGCCCCGAAACAGGGCTCGCCCGTTGGGAGACGCATGCGACGCCAGGGTCTCAGCAGGGGAGGCTCTCCTGGAGAAGCACCCCGTGCCCCCCCCCCCAAACCCATGGCGTCGTGTTTTTTTCGCAGCGCCCCCCCCCAAGGTGTCGACCCATTCCCGATAGCCCCATAATCCCACCCCCTCTCCTCCACCTCAGAGGAGGCACGCCTGTATTTCGTTGGTAAGTTAGCCGTTCTGGCTCAGGCTTTTATAGCCTCAGCTTGCAGCAGCATGCCTTCAGAACGGCATCGTGCTGTTGCGGGCCTCTGGCTCGGTATTTTCGTCGAGGGCGCTTCCTCCTTCATTCACAAAAGTCGCAGCCATCACGTCCCTTGGGCAGCAATGGCAGGCGTCTCAGGCGGCGGCGGCGGCAAGGGCAGGTCTCGTGGGCCCCGTGGCACCGTGCGTGGAGCTCGGCCCCGCAGGCTTCGCCTGGAGGTCAGCAGCGCGGACAGTACGGACATCGGCCCCAGATGCAGTATGAGTTCTCGTGGCCGCCGCTCACTCCTGGTCCTCAAGTGCCTGCTTCTCCTGCTGGTGACGGCGTTCGGCGTGGTCCACCGCCAAAGGGGCAGCACTGGAAATGTTCTTTCTTCGGGTGCGGCAGGAACGGAACCAGGTTCTATTTCTGCCAGCACTTCGGCGCGGTCGTGTCGGCCTCCATGGTTGATCCAAGCTCGACGTGGTCAGCAGGACCTCCATCCGGTGGAGCCCACACAGGTGATCATGGTACATCTGTCGGCTTCGGTGGAGGCAAAGGAGGAGGCAAGGGTGGCAAAAGGGGCTTCCGTGATGAAGCTTCCAAGCCACCTCTGTCTGCCGAGGAGTACACGCAGTTGGCGACATTGTGCGAGAAGCTTGGTGACAAGGTCGGAGCAGCTGCCCGCCGAGTGGCTGCCAAGGCGCTCGCCGAGCCCAAGTCAGTCCCAGATTCTATTCAGGTCCGTCTCAAGAAAGCCCATCAGCGTGCCAAGACCATTGAGCGCAAAATGGAACAGTCGGTTGGCAAGTTCCAATTCTCTCCAGCAGCAACTGTCAGCTCAACGAGATCATGCTGTGCAGCCTCGGTCTGAGCTCGCTGAGGCTGAAGAACCTCACAAACAGTTGGTCCAGAAATGATATGTCACATTGCATCAGGAGTCATCTGTCCCTCGTATGCCCGCCGAGGTTCTGTTCGACGAGTCGAAGCTCTCTTCCTTCTTCGACTTCGACTTTGGCGACGTCTTCAAGTTGGAGGATTGCGATCTCACGGCAGACGACCAAGGCGAACTGGATTCTCGGGTGCAACAGCTCAAGCGCGGTGTCAGCACATTGGCGAAGGAATTGCTTTCGCAGGCCAAAGCTAAAGTGGATACCATCAAAGCTGAGCGCGCAGCCCACGCACATCGGTTACAGAAGAAGCGTCGTCGCGTCGAAGCAGGTGAAACAGATGGAGGAGATGCTGGCCCAGAAGCAGCTGGCGCAGGTGAAGCAGCTGCACCTGGTGCGGGCGCCGCCGCTGCCGCGGGGTGGCGGCGGCAGGCGCTGCCAGTGATGCCGCCTCCACGCGTGCGCGTGCTGGCGACATTGCGAGTGGCAAGCCTTCCGGATCCCGCCCCCCTGCATGGTCGACCGCGTTGGCTTGCTTTCTGCGGCCTGTGGGAGTTCGTCCTCGGGCCCCGTGGACTTGGGGTGCGCTCTCGGAGCCGCGCTGGCCCATCTGCGTATATCGCGCAGGGGGGTGCGATCTATTTCTTAGTTTATAGTACAAGGGATCCTGCTTAGCTGCAGCGGCTAAGCAGGCCTTCTGTTGCAAGAGAGGCATCCCCTTCTTATTTGCGTCTATGGCTGGTTCTTTGCAGCGGCGCGTTCCGTCTCGCAGATGGTCGGTCCTCAATGCTGGCTCGTGCTGATGCGGCTTCTGGGGCGCCGGGCACTGCCGGCCCGTGCGGTTTTGTAGTCAGGCGACAGGCCCCTTTCGATTTCTCTCGGCCTTCGATTGTTTTTCCTGTGAGCTCGTTGGTGATGGGGGCCCCTGGTCGCGCCGCCTTGGTCAGGCTCTCGTTGCCTGGCCCCGGGGCTTCTATTTGCAAGGCTGCTTGTCTGTCTGGGAGCGCGTGCCTTGGGGGCTCTGAACCGTTGGTGGATCAGAGTCCTCGGCGCCGCTCTCCGCCCCCACCTTTTGCTCGA